ATTGTTCCATTCCCGCAGTACATTCGTTTGTGCTGGTTCCTATCATCTGGATCAAGCAGTATTTCTGCCATGATTCAAACTGCAATCAAACACCCCTCTCTCCAAAGACATACCAAAGTAATATTGACTTGACCTTCCATCAACTGCATAGACTCTACATCTTTCAGCGGATGAAAGGCTTCCCCTGACAGCATAAGGATTCATACTCATTTTGATTTTAAGAAGACTTATATTCTTCCTTCTTTTGCCAAAAGCAAGAAAAGGGAAAAACTTGCAACTAAAGCAGGGAAGACCAGGCAAAATTAGTTGAAAATCTTGTGTGCTGTCTCTCAAATTAAGATTCAACCAGTTGGTCTTCAGCGTTGCTTTTTACATTACAAAAGAGTTTTGTTTTGGTTTGTTTGGTTTTTTTTTTCCCTCTAAAAGTGCCCTAAAACACCCCCCCCCCCCCCCTTCTTTTTTTCTTCAAATATTTTTATTTGACCCACAGAAGAGCCCAGGCACTGAAGTAAGCTCAGGTTGTGCCTCACAAACTCACCAAGAGTTTTGGACCGCCTCTCTGGTACTTCACTGCAGAGACCATGTAGGAAACGCCCAGGAGAATCATCCAACCCCGTCCAGCCCAGACCGAGACACTCAGCTGCCCGAAACCACTCGTCTGCAGCAAGGCCTGTTACCAGCAATTACACTTGTCTCAGCCTTGAATGGTGGATGGAGAGACACTGAATCTTCTCACAGCTTCAGGAAAAGCTGGGCAAGATGCATCTACCCAAGAAATAGGTTGTCCAAGATTAAGGCTCTCCCCACTGTACACCTTTCTCTTTGGATGAAACAACTGTTGTTGGCTATGGTTGACCACGCTGCAACAATTTTCGGTCGTGTCTGAAAAAGAGGGCATCCAGTTTGTTTCACTGACCCTACCTGCTTAGCTACGATCAGCATCACCCTCAGACTGCCTAACATCACTACTTGCAGTACTTTGTGCATTGATGCAATCCTTCAGCTTCACAGTACTGTGATCAGATTTTGCTCTGGGTGACTGTTAAATATTTCACAATCAAGAGAAAGGAGATAAGGCTTTATTTCTGCAATTTCCAATCCCTCTGCAAAAGCCTGATACAATCAAATTGCTTCAATCCAACTGATGCTGAACTCAAGCTATCACCCACTAATACCTAACAAGACAGCAGAGACTCCCATCTCCCTATTCTTTTTATGCCTGCCAGCAAGAAGACAGATTTATTTCTTTAGGATTAGCATTTTGCTATTGGAATGACTGGATATACCAGTACTGTTGCAACAAATCAGCATAAACCATAATCTTGTTACAAGGCTATGGGACAGATTAATCTACTGAAAAATCCAGTTTGTTCCAAGACAAGCTTTTCTCTAGCTGCAAATACACAGAGACAGCATCTCAGCGAGTCTTCAAAGAAACCTGTTTGACCTACTGCAGGGAAGAGGAGCACAATATTAGAAATAAACACTAAGTGGAATTCTGGTGCCACTGCCACTGATGGTAAATGCTCTGCTGACTTCAGCAATCTCACAGTTTGAACCTTGGCATCTTGCTTTCTTTGTGTTCACGGGAAAACTAGTGAAAAAAAGAAGAGTAACAACACAGATTTCATTGAGCTTTGTTTGTGTTTGTTTCAAGCCTTCAGAACAAACATCTCGGAATGAGAAACCTTACTTTTTATGAACTCAAACCAAACAAGCCAAAACACATCTTTCAACACAGACTGCTCTCCACCCCCACACGGGGGAAAAAAAAAATCACTCAGTACAACAACATCTTAACATTTCCATTCCAAAACACAGTAACTTTCTGCTGCTATCATAATTACTCCTTATTAATGCTAAGCATCATCAGATGTAACTGCAGATTTGCTATATCCTCACGACAGATTTAGCTGTGAGATTGATCCAACAGAACAGTCAATCACCATGGTTACTTACAAACCACCCTAGAAAGTCTCAAAAATTCTTTAAACTACTCCAATACCCTGCAACATGTTGAACAGTGCTAACTATTTATCATGCTATTTCTATTTGAAGGAAAAAAAAAAGTAATAAAAAAATCTTAGAACCACTGAATTAATTGGAAACTGAGATTCTTATGGAAGAAAGTTTTCTGGTTTTGAAGTCACCTAAGATCATAAATCTGAAGCATTAAGAATAAGAGCAAAGAACACCAAGTTTAACTACACTTAAAATGATCATAGGTTAGAAATATTGAGAAGGAGAGAGCTAAATGACTTTTCATTGCATGCAAGAGAGGTTCCAGTCTAGTTCAGTGTTACCATAGAAAGGAATTTTTATGTCAGTCTCATGTTTAGTTTATTTTCCGTTTTGAATTCTTATGGCCAAAATCGGGGGGGGAGGGTGGGAGGAAGATTTAAAATATTTATTTGCCCTTTACAATCAAGGCACCAGGTTTGGAAATGAGGAATCCAAAGAGCAGCTTTCATAAGCAGTCTGATAGGTACGGATAAAGAGAATGACAGCGCTACCTGACCAAAAGAAAAACACAGCAGTAATGAGACTTCTGAGCAGCCTGCTGCCATCCAAATCAGCTCCTTTAAATACTTCATTAAGACAGACGAGGTTTTCTTTCATTAGAGGCAAGCATTCTTCATGCTAGACTGCTCCTGCTCAGATGCATCTATAAATATTGTGAGGTCCACTGGAGGATACACTTCCAAGTGCCTGTTTAGCATCAGGTGCCTAGTTGGAGAAGCTTAATACTTAGAGGTGGGAGGTCAGCATTTAGCATTGCACTACATGCTTTTACTGGCTTCCTATTTATTTCTAAGCACAGATACAGAATGGCTGCTTTAATTGATAAAACTGAAGGCAGCTGCGCACCTTAACTGCTGCAGAAGTCACCTCTCCCTACGTGCAATGGTTGGGAGTCTGGTCAGGGGAGTCTGGCTAAAGCTCCCCAGATTCAGGATGCTGATGAAAATTTTAACCCTACCAACCTCATAGATTTAAGACCTACAATTTGATTCTATATTGCCCTAGCAGACAGAAAAGCAGCCTATTCATTCAGACTTTTCCTGGGCACAGCATGAGAGCTGGGGAGCTCTCATTGACAGTTATTTATAATTAGATGATATTTTAAAATAGCATCCAAGTAAACATGCTCAGTCCTCTCATTATATATCCCAAGTCCTAAAGAGACACTACGCTGCTTTGTGTTGCACAGCAGTGATCCCTTTTTGAACTTGGGGCATCTTGGACAAGCTCCCAATTAAAAATACAGTAGCTCAAATGCAGGAGCTGCTCAAGCATAGTTTTCTTTGGCTTTGAAAGAACTCATCATTTCACTTTAATTTGTCTCTGATTTTTTTGCAGCCTGGGTTAAGGATGGAATAAAAACAGCTGGAAGCGAGCAGAAGTTCAGCTCTGCTCTGAAGTCGGGTTGCCACCTGGCTGCTTGCCCAGTGGCCTGGCCCATCTCCCCGTGCCCTTGGAAACCGCGCAGGCACTAATTGATTGTGCACACACAGCACCCGCTTGTCAGGGCTACCGTAGCCTTTGCATTTTAGCTATTTCCATCCTACCCCTTCTGCTCAACCTGGAAAAACTCTAATATCACTAATAAGAGGGTAATGCCTCTTCAAACATGAGCTGACCGCATCCACTCACAGAATTTTGGATGTTCAACTGTAATCAGGCACCTGTTTGGTTTGGTTACATCCTCATACAGTAAGAGTATCTGAGCAATACGGGAATACTAACAAGAGGAATGCAATCAAAGCTGCACCTAATTCTTTTCTGATCAAGAATGGTCCTAATCCTGAATGCAATTTATTTCCATTGTTTCAGAGAAATCTACACTTAAACTCTAAGGTATAAAAAGAATGGCTTTGGCTTTAATAAACCATAAGTGATAAGTGAGTAACATCTTTTTGATAATATTTTTATCATCTTAAGAAGGCACAAAAAGAAAAAAAATAAAACCCCTCCTGTGAAGAGCTAAGCTTCTACTTTTGGTGAGCAGCATGCAGAACACACGAGTGAAGAAAAGCCCGTCATGCCTCACTTTCCCCTTAAGGGCACATTTATCTTTGCCCACAGGCCATTTGGTCTTAAGATATTTTGTTACATATTGACAGGAACCCAAATGATATTTGACAATGCAACCCACAAAACATGCAACAGAAATGATCTTTTCCTCCAGCTTGCCCTACATTCAGCTGCAGCGGTGTTGCAGCTTTGTTGTTTGTCTACAGCCACATCCTGGGTTTGGTGACTGCAATAACATGCATGTGTAAGTAGTCACATTTTGTATTTTCATATGGAACTCTATCATCTCTCTGAGTCACATACACACTGATGCTTTCTGTATTTTCCTGCTGTGAGTATAATGTAGCTTCCCACTCAGAGACTATGACAGAAAGTCTGACCATAATGAAATCACATAAATGCAACTCAGATAGATCTTTGATATTACTCCGTGTGTGTGGTTATGGCCCCCTTCAAAGAGGAAAAGGGGCATTTTGACCTTTTAATAAATAGAAACCTGAACAAAACTGTTAAGAAAGAAGCAGGAATAATTTAATGTTTTGGAAACCAGTCTTCCAACAAGGATATATGCATAAGATTCTCCTTCTGGCTAGCCACATCATATAACAAATGGACAAGGATTACTATTATTCTTACAAATACACAGCATCTCCACTCACTTTCTGTAAGTCAAGCAAGCAGTCAGTGCTGGCTGACAAAGGAAGCATTACATGCAAAGCCTACCAATTCACGTTTGAGTTCTGCCAGCAAAACTCCCTTTACTGAAGTTAAACCGAACAGCATGTCAACAGCAAAGCGTAAGACTCCACAGAGGCAGATCCCACTGATATAAACGACTCTGCAGCAAAGCCCAGAACACCTGTCTCCCTCCCAGTAAGCTGCAGTTCCAGTTTCTTGTCTCAGTGACCAGAAACTTTCAAGTCTCTAGAAGTGTCTGAAATAACTTTCCCTGCTTGCTTTCTCACCTCTGGTAGCACATACACAGCTATCACTCCCGGTACATGCATAGCCAAACATCACGCTGCTGTCTGGTCCAAGAAACACCCCGATGTCCTCCAAGTTGAGGGAAAAGAAGAAGGCATGGAGGGATGGAGAAGCAGAGTTTGCACAGGAGCTGTAAGAAGCTGGAGGACAGGATAAGAACACAACAGCAACATGCCAGTAATGCTGGAAGAAGAAAGGACTACCCTATCTGAAGGCAAGAAAGGACAACAGAAAAACAGAAGCAGCTCTTTGCACTGCTCCATTCTGTTACTGCTAGACAGTAGTGGGTGTTTTACCTTACAGTCACCTTGGAAACAACTGCAGATTAACTTACAACACCTACTGGAAGCCCACAAGTGCAGGACTGTAGCCTGGGGGATGGACTGAGTGACACGGACTGGAGCCAAGTTGAATTCAACCATGCCCCAAAGGGACCGACTGAAAGACACAACAGGAAAGCTGGACAAGAACATCTGTGCACACATGCCTTTTTTTCCCCCCTCTTAGATAAAAAGTTTCCTTCATCTTCCCTCTTTCATCTCCAAAATGGTGAGGTGCCAGGAAGCAAGAAGAATAGTTAGTGCGTGCTTTTAGCGGGGCAAATAAGTAAAATCGCCAGTTGGAACAACAACAACAAAAAAGCTGCAAACAGGAAAACAAACACATGGGAGGGGGTATCCGAGCATTCGTGGATTACTTTGAAATAGTTCCTGGAAGTAATTTAGTAACTGAGTATTTAGACTGTATAACTCTTACAAACCCAGCTGCAAGGTGAGCGTGCTCTGTTTCAGTCCGGCAGCCCAGCTCACTTCAGCACTCAGCAGCAGCCACGGCAGCACACCGATGGGGGGGACACTCAGATAAGGCCAGCAGGCACAATTTTGAAATGACTGCTTAGTGTACACACAAGGACCTTTCTCCACTCGTACCCTTGAGTCGGTCTCGGGCACACCGTCTCTCCCTTCAGGACAGAGTGAATAAGCAGTTTAGGGTGGTTAATCTCTCCAACTAGCCCATGTCCTTCTTGCAGAGGGGAACCGTGTCCCCGCGCAGCCTCGCGTCCAACACCTCACCCTCGGAGGATGCACGCCCCTGCACTGCACCCCAGCCGGTGGCCAGTGCTCCCCCAGCCGCTGGCCGCAGCCCCTGGCCTCTCCCTGGAAACCTACCACCCACGGAGCTCCATCCTCACCCACACCTGGTACACGTTTTCCACCAAGGCGCAGAGACAGCAAGCAGAGCAGCGTGTGGCACACACTGGCCTGTTGAAGGGGGCTTTTAGTCCCTTACTCGGCTTTCCTTCCCACTCCCCCAGCCCTGACTGTAAGGAGAAACCCCCCAACTTCCTCGCCAACACCACTTTGCCAGAAAGGTTTCCCCTGCTCGTTTCACAAATATGATTGCAGCATGTTGTGTTTTACATAATATTTACATTTGAGTCACTAAGGTTCAGCCCTGGCATGAGGCAATTCCAGTATCAACTTCATCAGGTTGAGCTCTTGGGCATCATCCAGCCTCTGAGACTGTACTAAATCTTTATCCTTGGTTCTCTTTAGGAGCCCAGCAACATCCTCCCAGGCCAAGGAAATATGCATGAGTGCGTTCTCCGCGATTACAACTTGCACCAGTTATAACACCAGGAAAGAAAAAGCCAACAAACAAAAAGGGCACTTTTCAAACAATTTTGCATTTCCTGAAGGTTTGTGCCTCCTGGAAGCTCCAAATGACCTTCCCCACCACCACAAGATTTGCTTCTTCTCATGGAAAAATCACCATCCACTCCTTTGCTGAGAGCACACCAGCTCTTGCCTGAGTGTGCATATGCTGTGGCCCCTAGCACGGGGCTCCCCAGGCCCCCTGAACCCACCACTCCAGCAGCTCTCACTGGTCACTTCGGGTCTGCGTGGCGGCTCAATCCAGACACTCGGTGTGCATTTTGCAGGCTCAGGAGCACCTCCCTCCGCACAATGGCCTTGGTCTCCAAATGCCTGTAGGATTTGGCAATTCTTGCTCCCCACCTGCAACCTTCCTAACATCTCCATGCTCGTTCCTCCCACTTACAGTCAGCCACTGCAGTAGCTCTTGTATTAATGCCTTGTATGAGCTACGTGCTGTTACCTCCCTCCCCACACCCTCTCCAACAGAACTCTGAAAGCCAAGTTTCTGATCGCTCCTTTGCACAAACTGAAAACCAACGCAAACTACGGGATGAGGAGGCTGGACTCCAAACCCTCCCCATCCCCAGGAAGACATTTCAACCCTCCCAGCATGCAGCAATGAGCCTGATGGGGTGATATACCATGCAGCGGCAGTATGGGAGATATCGAGACAGAGCAGCTCTTCTTGCTGATGCAACGCCTGAGCCAAGTGTGCAGGTGCTCTGGCAAAGCTGCGATATTAACAGTTTTATGCTGACGTGCACACCACTGCAGAGACTGCAAAGCAGACGTGGCCCTGATCCTCAGCAAAGACACGCTCTGAAATCTGCTTATGCACCTCAATTTTACATTTCTGCGCTAGGCCTTCAGATTAGCAGATTTGGCTGACAGGTGAAGGTGCAGTGAAGTTAGCTCCACAAGCTTTTCATACTGTAAATGGTATGAAAATCACAGACCGCAAATGCTACGTAAAACTTGTTCCAAAAGGAAGCACCATTAAAAGCAAAAATTTCAGACTTGAAATATTGGCTGACTGGGTTTTATGAAGGTTGGTTTTGAGTCATATGCAATCCACATTAAGATGATGAGTATTTTCCTATAGGGGAGAGACTTAAGCTTCCCTAATCCAACCAACTTGTTACTCCTAATGCCAAAAGGAAATACAGCAACACCCATGCCCTTCACTGCTGACAAACCACCACTGGAATGACTGGAACATGCTGTAGCTCTTCCCACAACTTCCACTGAATCCTGGAGCACCAGACCACGTTGTCCAATATCCTCCAGCACTTCGTCTTGGCATACTCCCTGGAGTTGCCTTTGCTGGGCTATTACAGGGAGTGCCAATTCACGTAATGACTAAAGCCAGGAACACCTAGTCCCAGAACAGCACTTACAGACAAAGCATAAAACAACAAAACCCTTCTTTCCTATGCTAGACTTGTACCCTTCCTTACTACCATATCTTGCAACAGCAGCATGATTCATCACACCGCATTTGTTTTAAGATTAAGGGTTTTACTAACTGTTCAAGACATCTTAATTCCTTTGATTTCATGTATATCTTGTACCTTATCTCAAAGCTGCATGTAATTTAAATGGAGAAAAAAAAAAAAGAAAAAAAAAAAGACAAGGCACTAAGCTTCCTCTAGGACTTTATCCATGGATTTGAAGCTATAGCACTTGAATTCCAGTTAAGAAAAGACTAATGGTGTTTCACCTTCCAATACCTGAACTAAAGAATTATCCAGGAAGAGTTTGTCCAGGTATGTACACAAAGGTTTCACCTAACAGAGTCAAAACTTTAGAAACTGAAACAAAGAGCTATAAGTTTCACACCTTGTATGGCAGAAAAGAATATGAACATTTATTAAGTATGTAAGAAGTAAGAGCAAGGCAACTATTTTGCATCTTAGCAGCCCTACCACACTACCAAGGGTCCAGCGTAGTGCAAATGGCATACTGGCTAAAGAACATGTGGTACACGCTATTAAATCATTGCCAAACATGAAAGCAGCTCAAATAAATAATAGATTTTTAGGTGTAACACAGGTATGCTGCTGAATCTGCCTCATTGGAAGCCTGTGCCACTCCTGGGAATAGGTGTTGCCAAGCTACTGGCCTCCATCTCCAGGAGGGCACTATAATCTTCACAGACACCATTCGGTAGCTACAGATTTTAAATGAATTAAAAGCTTTTTCACTAAAGTGTTTCTGGAACACATCTCTGCCAGCAGGGAAAAAAAAAAAAAAAAAAAAACACAAAAAAACCAAACAAAAAAACCCAACAAAAAACAGGAGCAGCGGTTAGTGGCAACCTGTCAATTGTTTTTTCATTCAATTGTCTTGATGGAAACAGCAGACCACAAGGTAAAGGAGGAAAGAAGGGGAAGCAAGGAGGAGATGCTTCTGAGATTATACTTTAATGGCAGAACACACAGTATAAACAGTTGGAGTTTCAAAGCTGCTCAGCACGTAAGGAAGAAAGCAAGCCATGTGGATACAGGATATCTTGAGGATTTTTGCCTTCGAATCAGAGACACTTGTCCGTCTGCCCAATATATGAGAACTGTCACCTACCACACCACAGTACACAACAGACGACCACACCTAGAGTGGGAAATCAGGTCACGGCCATTGCCCAGGCTCTGAGCATATCTGAAACCTCTTTCCTGGTCCACTCGAAAGCTTTGCCCTACCCCCACATGATTCCTTTTAAAGATTTATTCAATAGCAGACTACTGAGACACCCTGCACTAGCTTCTTGGAAGAAGGAGGTCATTCAAGACAATTAAAGCACGGATAGCAGCATTCAGACCTTAAAAGAATAAGTCTCTTTGTAGTTTCAAAGTATTGTTCAGCTGCACAGATAACCCGCATTTGTGGAGTGACGCAATACAGAATTTTCATTATGTACATGGCCACGCTGTTCTATTGAGTACGATGTTCTTTGATAAGCTGCAAGGGTGCTCAGTTTCCAGATCTTTGGAACCGGAATAAGCCCTACAGTAATGTGCTGCAGGGAACAATAGTCCCCTGAATGTGACTGGGGTAGACTGATGTCACCATGAAAAGTTTTGAAATGGGAGAGAGAAAGAACCTGAAATAAAATAAATAAAGAAGTAAAAATCTCTTCATCCTCAGGAGCAACAGCAGCACGAACTCACTGTTCACCCACCAGTGATATTCACAAGAGTTCACTCAGGGGTAAGAAAGAAAAAAATCGCCGTTCAAATTTCTTACCTATTTTATAGATTTTTCCTTTCTTTATAGCCACTAATTCTGTCATTTCATCTTACAACAACCACACATTTACACTGCATAGGGAAGAATTTCCTCTGGAGTCTCAGTGGCTCATCGTGATCCATGGTCTCCCGTCCCAAAAAGTTCAGCGTGGTTTCCCACCATGCACAGTAGGGAAGCACTTCGCTGGGAGTTGAGGACAAGCACCACTGTGTTTGATCCCAAGAGCACCAGTTTCCATAACATCTTCTTTTATTTTAGAGCATGTAGAAATATGTTTACCCCATGTGAAAAAAAAAAAAAAAATAAAATCAGGGGACCACATGCCCTCTTAATCCCAGAAACTTCAGTCTTTGTACACAAGCTATGAACTTCTGTGAACTCTTCCAGTCCGTACCCAGTCTGTGGGTGAAAACTACCTACCAGTAAAGGCTGCTCTTTATTTGTGGAAATGCAGTAACAGTGGCTGGGGGAAAGGGAGTCCCGCTAAGGAAAAGAATGACAGACTCTTGGAGTCTGAA